CAAGGAGGGATTGGTGAGCTTGAACCACCGACCTTGTAGTTCAAACGGCTTTGCACAGCACCACACCAGGACTCCATATATATGTATGTATGTATATGTGTGTGTGTATATATATATGTATATATCTGGTAGCATAGTAATGAGTTTTCCTGCTAACCTCAAGTTTAGCAGTTCGAAACTACCAGTCATTTGGCGGGTGAAAGATGAGGCTTTGTGGTCCTGTAGAGATTTACAGTCTCAGAAACCCTATACAGGGTTGCTATGAGTCAGAACAAACTTCTCAGCACACCACCTCCATACAACCCATGGGTTTCTATGAATCAAAACAAACATGATGGCACTCAACAACAACAACAACAACAACAAATTATATATATGATAATTCATACTTGTACACAATAGTTTCAAAGTGTTTTCTCCTAAATAAACACATTTAAATCACATAGTCACTCTTTGAGGTAGTCAGTACAATATAGTTATCCCTATTTTACAAATAAGAAAACTAAATCTTAGAATTTAAGTCTTCCTCAAGACTACATACATCAGTAGAGCTAGACTTAAAGTTTCCTGGCAGGTGTGCCAGGATTAAGTTTCAATTCTTTTCCTTTATCATGTTAACGTAGCATCCTTAGGAATTAAATATGCTTATGACTTTCTAAAATCTTCTGCAAACATGAAATGGTAATAGAATTAACAAATAAATGAAGTTTACACATTTGTTTTCTAATGAAATTTGAGTTCTTCATGTAGAAACTCTTAGATTTCAAAGAATCCCCGCCCCTAAATTGTACACATGATCTCATGTTATCTTTCTAAGGATCTTTAGAGTGAAAAGTAAAACAAGACAACACATCTCCTGAGAGTTCCACTACTGCCCTTTCAACTTGCTACAACTTCAGTGGTTACGTTTTTTGATATGAACAACTCTAAGCTACTTCCCTGAGAAAACAGTCTTATTTTTTCTCTGCCTTTGGAGACTTGTCAGGCTCCCAAGGAGCCTCTGTAAAGTCACCTTTTCATCTTTAAGAAGAACAATTTAAAGCAGAATTCACTTGATTTAAGAGGATGTAGATCAATAACAGTATTTTAGATTTGACCCCTTCCCTTTTCTTTTCTGGTCTTGGATTCACCCTGGGACAGTTCTGGCACCAAGTCTCTCTTGCTCCAGTCTCTCTTGGTTGGCACAACTACTGGGAACTTTTAAACCTTTATTGTAGTTCCAAGTGCTGGGATGATTTATGCTTCTCTATCTAGACCCCAAAACAACCAAATGAAGTCTGCAATTTTGAAAATAGGCCATATAGCATCATAAATCTCCAGGTTTATTGTCATCAGAGATATATAAGTATAAAATTTCACCCTATACAGGGTCGCTATGGGTCGGAATCTGTTTAAGTCTTGATGACACTTAACAACAACAACAACAACAATGAGAATTTGGTTTTCCTTCTATTAATAATAACTAAGGCTTACATGGTATTTACTATGTACCAAGCAGTGTTCTGAGTGCTTTACATTTATTCATTAATCCTCACAAAACCATGCAAAGTGTATATAATTAATATTTATATAAAAAGATAAGGAACTTGAAGCACAAAATGTTCCCAAAGCTGGGATTTCAGTTCAGATAATCTAGTGTCTGTGTTATTACTGTGATATGCTGCCTCTCTAAGATAAGACTATAAGGACTCTTCTAAAACATAAGATGGGATCTTAAAAGTGGGATCCTTGGAAATCTGTATTTGTGATATTTTGCATGATACAATAATAAAACCAAGTATCTTTTTGCCTTTTAAATAAGATAGTACAATAACATAATCTTCCTTTTCAATTGTTCCAGCAATGAAATAAGAACATTAGTCTCATCTTCTTTCCAACTTTCTCCACTACAAAATACACACAAGTACATCTAAAAATGCAGGCAAAGTCATTTTAACAGAAATTACATAATCATATTTAGATTTAAAAAAGATATTCAAGTTACTAATTCTTTTCTTTCAGATAAGATGCTATTGGTCCAGTTAGTGTTCAAATGTTTGTATTACTTTGAGTGTTAAACCAAAAATTGGACATAGAAAATTGTACTTACCTTCTTAGGCATGTTCAATTTAAATCTGCACATTGTGGAGCGCTTGGGAGTGTCACTATTCTGAGAAAGCATAACACATTATCATTAAAAAATGAACTCCAACTAGAAAAATGGAATGCCATAATTTCAGTAAAGAATAGAATATACTTACTGTAACTGTATTCAAAACCATCTGTAAATCCAGCAGCAATTGCTCCATCTGTTGCTGTATTTCCCTTGTAGAGCTTGAAGTAGGTGCACTGTTTGTGAGGAGTGCAAGAGTTAGTGCAATGCAAGACAAGAGTTGCATCCTGTAGTACATTGTTGCAGGAGTTGAGGTTGCTGTGAGTAGTGATAAGAGAGGTTTATAGGAAGCTCTTGAACAAGAGAAGCAATTTATAGTGTTAATTCTGGAAAAAAAAATATTATGGGGGTGTCAAACAAAATGTTTTACATATTACACATACTTTCAGAGACTATACCTGTGTGGCAAAAATCATTACCTTTATTTTTCCTCTTCTGATGACTCTTTGGAATTTCTATAAACCCCAATAAACTGGCTGAATGGATGTAGGTGAAATCCCTTGGTTGCGTTAGCCCACACTGAGGTGGCAGTTCTAATTCATATAACTAACGCCTTCTGTGTGAAGCAAATTTTCCTTCTCTTTCAAGAGGGTGGGGATACAAGAGTGGCTCATGAAAATTTTCTCTTTGTCATAAAACCATGCTGAATATGTGGAGCAGTGTGTTGCGGTGGACAAGAGCAAGGGTAAATAGTTGAAAAGAATAACTTTTTAGATTTGTTGATTAAACAGGAAGAATACTGGTTTCCTGTTTCAGGATGGTTTTACCTTTTTATCTACACAATGATTTAACTAATGCATACAGTGTGATAGATCACTTCTTACACAATCAACTAGAAGAAAAAACATAAAACTCTATTGAGTTTGAGGTACTGTTTTATACTGTTTTAATTTTAAAACATTTCTTGTATCTGTTTAAGTCTCATCATGTCTATAATACCGTTTATTTTTTCTTTTAAAGATGTGCATTTATCAAACACTCAGAAACAAACTTGCTTCCAAGAGTACTGATACTTGTTGGATAGTAAACCAGTCCATATATTTCTAGTTTTCTACATTTTCATATATGATCAGGATCTATACTCTAAAGTACCTTAGACATATAAGTATAAAGATTTAAATCGTGAAATATAATCAGATCAACATTTTTTTTTCGGTCCGTATAAATTAGGTGGAATAGTTAGAATTTGTGTTCACTCATCCTTGTTGGTTGAATTCACTGTCTGAAAGATGGCTTAAGTATATCCTTCCAATTTAATCTGGAGAGAACTGAGGAGATCCTCCCTCAAGTAAATTGCTTCTAACTCCTCCATTTGTACTAGCTTGCCTAACCTTTAAACATGCATTTATCTAGAACCTATGAAGCCTTGGGTATGTAGAAAGGGAGGGTAAAGAACATGTGCCAGCACACAGTCTCATTTAAACCTCACAACAAACCTAGAGAGTGATGGTTCCCACTTTGCAGTTTGGAAAACTGAGGCTCAGAGAAGTTACATAACTTGAACTATATCATTTGGCTATTAATGAACAGAACAAGGATTAGAAATCAAAATGTTTTGACTTCAAAGTCCATTCTCATTTCATTTGTATTTTCTCTTAAAAAGCTTCATGTGTAATAGGGAAGTTAACATATATACAAACACAGAAACCTGTAATCCTAGGTAGAAGGTGGTTCTGCCTCAAGAGACGTAGGTATAGAGTTCTGTGGGATCAATTACTATAAACTGGGCTTTGAAGCATGGTTAAGATGTAGATATGTAAATTTAGGGTTAGGAAGAAGGTGGGTCATCCTGTCTAGCATTTGAAGGAACACTCAATCTCTTATGCAGAAAATGAAAATGGTTCAGTAATACTTCTATGTATTAGGCAGCATTTTAGAGAATAAAAAGCATGAAGTTTAAATATAAGCATTTTAGTTCCTCAGGTAGAAAAAAATGAGGAAGAGCCAGATTAGGGCCAAATCGTATGATCTTTTCCTTACTAAAAAACACTGAAATCTTTCTGTATCTTTCAAATCAAAACCACAAAGTTAGCATTTGTTGTAAGGAAGAGGCTATTTAGCAATTGGTGTATCAACTGCATTACACTTGTTTTGCTTCTCTAGAGACTTCAGCAACTCATTTCACTGTCATCAATTCAGGTCTTCACACTTCCAGGATGGAAGAATTCAGGCCCACACATTTTCCAAGGAGGCCTTTCATGTTTTCACAGTCTGGTATTTATATATCTGTGGCTATTTCATTAGAGACTGGGGCTGTGTAAAGTTGTATTTCAGGGACCACCTAGAAAATCAGTTCCTGGACCCCTGGCTTATCCCCTTGGTTTACTGAATTCTAGAATTGAAGTGCTGAGGGAGAAAGCTGCTCTCCGCTGTGGCATACTTTCGCTTTTTAATATGTCTGACACGTCAGCTACATTTCTGGCTATAGTGGTTGCAAAGTCAGTAGTAGCCTGCTAACTACCACGTGTGCCACACCTCCTACTTCCCCTTTGAAAAGAAAATTTTACTATTCAACAAGAAGCTATTTTAGTTGCTGAACATTGTTTCTGACTCAGCAACTCAAGTCCTTTGCAAAAGGCAACCCTATGAAGCTGTCTACCAGTGAGATTATCTATTTACCAAGGCTGATTTTCAGAGACCCCTTCCAAGCACCCCTGCAATAACTTTTTTTGTGAATTTCTTTCACAGCTTTGTAAACTTTAATTTGTTCTGGGGCTTGCTGTCTATATTAATTCATTTTTTGTTAGTTTCTCTAATGGCCTATTGGCTTTCCAGGATTTAGTTCTCTCTCTTTTGAGTTGGATAATCTCCGTACCACTCAAAGAAAATTTTATATGAAAATCTGAATTTACTCAGGCATAGGTTGGCACACAGTCTTTGTGTTTGAGACCTATGGCCCTCAACGTGATTGTTGTTGTTAAGTGCCATTGAGTCGGTTCCAACCCATAGTGACACTGTATAGGATTTCTGAGGAGCATCTGGTGAGCTTAAACCAGCAACCTCACAGTTCAAACCACTTTGCAGTCTCAGTGCATTAACCCAAAGCACTACACCATGATTCCATAATGTGATACCACCCAGCAACAGTCAAGAAATCAAACGACGTATTGCATTAGGCAAATCTACTGCACAAGACCTTTCTAAAGTGTTGAAAAACAAAGATGTCAGCTTGAGGACTAAGGTGTACCTGACCCAAGCCATGGTATTTTCAATAACCACATAAGCATGCGAAAGCTGCACAGTGAGGAAGGAAGACCACAGAAGAATTGACGCATTTGAGTTATGGTGTTGGAGAAGAATAATGAAAGTGCCATGGACTGCCAAAAGAACCAATAGATCCGTTTTGGAACAAGTGCAGCCAGAGTGCTCCTTGGAGGCCAAGATGGCCAAACTTCGTCTCTCATACTTTGGACATTTTGTCAGGGGCCACCAGTAGCTGGAGAAGGATATCATGTTTGATAAGGTGGAGGGTCAGAGATAAAGAGGAAGACCCCCAATGAGATGAATTAGCTAAGTGGCAGCATCGATGGACTCAAACATGGCAACAGTAGTGAGGTTGGCTCCGGATCTGGCAGTGTTTCCTTCTGCTGTGAATAAGGTCGCTATTAGTCGGTACCGACTCAGTGGCACAACCGACTCAACAACAACAACAACAACAAAAACTATATATATATAGTGGTGGCTTTGTGCCGTGGAGTCAGTTCTGACTCATAGCGACCCTGCACAGGGTTTCCGAGGCTGTAAATCTTTACGGGAGCAGAACGCCTCATCTTTCTCCCACGGAACAGCTGGTAGTTTCGAACTGCTGACCTTGTGGTTTGCAGCCCGATTCGTAACCACTATACTACCAGAGCTCTATATAACTTTTGTACTGTATTTTTTATTCTATGTGAAAGCAGACTGACCATTTAGTTAGGGAGATTTTGAGTGCTGGGCCTTTTGCCTAGTCATTATGCCTGAAAAAATGTTAGAAACTTATTAGAAGAAAAAAATCCTTTATTTTACAATTACTTTGCAATGACATACCACTGTATATTGATCATGCAAATGTCAAAATACAACAGAAAAAAAGATTCTTGTGTTGTGCCTGGTCCCGAAAGAAACAGGAAACGACTGTTACAATTTATTCCTATAGAGTGGGGACCTGGGAATAGTTTGCTATTTAGCACTGTTGTTGTTGTTAAGTGCTGTCGAGTAGATTCCGACCCATAGCGACCCTGTACAGGGTTTCTGAGGCTGTAAATCTTTACTGGAGCAGAAAGCTTCATCTTTCTCCCGCAGAGCAGCTGGTAGTTTGGAACTGCTGACTTTAAGGCTCACAGCTTAATTCGTAACTACTACGCTTTTAGCATTAGATAAACAGAATTCCTGTTTGCCATGGAGAAGCCATGGTGTACTCCTAGGAAAACATTGTAGAATATATTTGATGCAAAGGAATTATAGTTGCCTACTGTGTACTGGTGTGGCGCTGTGGGCTAATGAGTCAGACTGTAAAGTCGTTTGATCTGCAAAGTCAGTGGTTCAAGCTCACCAGCTGCTCCTTGGAAACCCTATACAGGGTCGCTATGGGTCAGAATTGACTCAACGACACTAACAACAACAACAACACTGTTTATTACAGCTCTGACTGGGTTATAAGAAAGAGTGAGGTGGAATCCCTCTGGGGCTTTTATAAAATAATTCAAACTGAGTTTTAATTATTTTATAAAATTAAATATTTAGGTGACAAAGATTTTCTCACCTTTATCGTGATACAATTTAATTTGCCTATAATCAAACTGTCCTATTGAAGCACCAGTGTTACAGTCTGTTAGAAATGAAAGCAGAGTTTTACTGAAAGGTAAAGAGATTTGCAAATTGGGAGACACACTAACATATAGACAGAGTACTATAGTGTTCTAAACTGCAAGACAAGAACAAACTTTTCATCAGGTGGAGTAAACAAATGGTTACTTGCTTACACCACTTGTCTATCGATTTGTTGTACTATATTGACTTGTGTGTTGCTGAGATTCTGCAAGCAATGGAACAGGGCCACCCACGATGGACAGAATTCAGCTAAGCTTCCAGAATTAAACAGACTAGAAAGAGGGAGAGGCAGACTACTTCTGAATGTTTAGCCACTGAAAACCATATGAATAGCAGTAGAACATTGTCAGATATAGTACCAGAAAATTAATACATTATGGATACTATCAGAATATTGTCAGATACAGTGCTGGAAGATAAACCCCTCAG